TCAGTGTACTTCGTTTCGGTTACGTATTGCTAATCCTCTCACAAATAATTCAATCAGAAACAAGACAACAAAATGTATCAGAAATGTAGAAAAAATGTGAGTGCCCTCAAAGTAAACTCTGTGCTGTTATTAAAGTTGAGTTGGAAGCAATAAAAAAGCACGGAAATTGACAAGGTAGACTGACATTGACCATTGTCTAATTGAATAATTTTCCAATACCATTTATTTGCTTACAGTATATGTGTTTTTGTATGTGTGTGTGTCTACACACACACACACCTACACACAGTTATACGATCTAGCTGCCTTTCCATGGTGGAAACTATCTCCTCTATTGTTGACTTTTGTACATCTTGGGCCAAAACACACTTTTAGCATGAAATGTAGTGACTGCTCGGTTCTAAAAGTGGTAAGTGTGGTGTTGAGTCCTGGGGGAGGTGCCTGCTTTGGCCTCCCGAGTCCTAGTGTATGTATACAATGCTACGCTGGAACAGTTTATACAGTTTTGATTCTTCACTTGTTTTTTAACTCTTATTTGATTCACAAAGCATTCATAGAAAATAAAAGTATGCGCTATTCACTTACTGCCAGTGTCTAATACAACTATCTTTCATGAACATTGCTGTATTGTAATACACAAAAATTCATGACTTTATGACTTGGCTGCAGTGACCTGTGATCACGCAAGTGCAGGTCAGTAATTATCTTTTAGTTTTTCCATGTTTCTTTTTATATCGTACCACAGTAGGTTGAGGTGCTTTGTGTTCCTTCACTATATTACCGGTGGATGTCTCCACGGACTACTAATGGATACCTCTGGTTTTTATTGCTCCTCTCTTTCCACTCTTACTTCCCGCTTGACTGGTAGCTAGGCAACTGATAATTAACCATTAGGCATTTCACTCGCTAATAAAGTTGACATTTTCCTCAATTTCCAACATAACAGCACTGATAAGAGTAACCTCTTTGTGAGAACAGTAACCTTGGTGATACTGTATTATGCTTTAACTGTCTGGTCAAAGTTCCTCACAGAAATGTCTCTTTTTTTTTTTTTTTTTTTTTTTTTTTTTTTTTTTTTTTTTTTTTTTTTTTTTTTTTTTTTTTTTTTTTTTTTTTTTTTTTTTTTTTTTTTTTTTTTTTTTTTTTTTTTTTTTTTTTTTTTTTTTTTTTTTTTTTTTTTTTTTTTTTTTTTTTTTTTTTTTTTTTTTTTTTTTTTTTTTTTTTTTTTTTTTTTTTTTTTTTTTTTTTTTTTTTTTTTTTTTTTTTTTTTTTTTTTTTTTTTTTTTTTTTTTTTTTTTTTTTTTTTTTTTTTTTTTTTTTTTTTTTTTTTTTTTTTTTTTTTTTTTTTTTTTTTTTTTTTTTTTTTTTTTTTTTTTTTTTTTTTTTTTTTTTTTTTTTTTTTTTTTTTTTTTTTTTTTTTTTTTTTTTTTTTTTTTTTTTTTTTTTTTTTTTTTTTTTTTTTTTTTTTTTTTTTTTTTTTTTTTTTTTTTTTTTTTTTTTTTTTTTTTTTTTTTTTTTTTTTTTTTTTTTTTTTTTTTTTTTTTTTTTTTTTTTTTTTTTTTTTTTTTTTTTTTTTTTTTTTTTTTTTTTTTTTTTTTTTTTTTTTTTTTTTTTTTTTTTTTTTTTTTTTTTTTTTTTTTTTTTTTTTTTTTTTTTTTTTTTTTTTTTTTTTTTTTTTTTTTTTTTTTTTTTTTTTTTTTTTTTTTTTTTTTTTTTTTTTTTTTTTTTTTTTTTTTTTTTTTTTTTTTTTTTTTTTTTTTTTTTTTTTTTTTTTTTTTTTTTTTTTTTTTTTTTTTTTTTTTTTTTTTTTTTTTTTTTTTTTTTTTTTTTTTTTTTTTTTTTTTTTTTTTTTTTTTTTTTTTTTTTTTTTTTTTTTTTTTTTTTTTTTTTTTTTTTTTTTTTTTTTTTTTTTTTTTTTTTTTTTTTTTTTTTTTTTTTTTTTTTTTTTTTTTTTCTGGGCAGAGATTGTTTTCTGTAGGGCCTGGCGTGGCATTTGGCATGCTTGCATACTATGTTTCAGCATAGGTTTATGTAAGAATTATAACCTGGAGATAGATTTAAAATGAGAGGTGAAAATTATTTTACATTTTTACAAGGTAAAATAAACTTTTTATTTGTACAGTATTTGGCAATTATTTACTGGTTCAAGATATATCTAAATATTAATAAGCTAATATTTTATATACTTACAGTGATATTAAGCGACAGTTTGTAGGATATCGATATTTAAGATCTAGGGGTTTTGTTGTCTGTAAGAGCAGCACCATCATTTTATTTGTGTATTCATTTTTCATCTCAAGCTCTTTTATCAGCAGAAATCTGAATGAGATATGTATATTCAATTACATCAGAACAGGAAAGTTGTTTTTACAAAAGGTGCGAGGATGACTGAATATTTTTTGGTGAGAATGTATGAAGGCTATATTGATGGGTTATAAAAAAATACAATTTCTTATAAAACTTGATCTTTGGATGGCCAAGCATATTAATGCTCCATATTCTTTGTTTTCAAATTTGTTTCATTAAGTATCTGTCAAATGAGTCTACTTTACAAAAGATTAAACAGTCAAATTCTATTCTGTGACCTTCGATGCCAACCTCTGATGGGTTGTTATGTCATTTAAATTTCTGCCGTATTGTTTAATGGGCAGTCTTCTGATGATGCTGGAGCTATGATTTGTGTGGTCAAACGTCAGTTTCAAGGGAGTCTTAGTGCTTGTAGGTATACTCTGTGCTCTTTTTATTTTTTTTATAAATTTCATTTTTGCCCTCATAATACTGTAATCAAGCAGAAAGTGATAGTACATATACTGAGTATAATAACAGAACTATGGATAAAATTTTTTGCTAATAGCAAGTCATGGATCTGAGACTCCAAAGCAAAGATATCAGTGAATTTCAGCATGTCTTAAGCCTGGATAAGCGTGGACATTTTGGGCTGAGGGCCAGCACACAAAATATTTCGATCAAGCAACAGCGGAGATCGGAGAGAAGGCTGGGAGTCTTCACGCTGATTTTTTGAGTAGGTGTTGAAGGGGCTGGTCGGCTACTGAGCCAACTTTTGAGTGCCAGCAAGGTAGTTCAGAATCTTAAACATTCTCTCTCATTAATGTAAGCTGGCCACACCCATGATGGCATTTCCCCAAGTAAAAGAAAATAATATAGAAAGGTTATAGACCAGAGCAAATGATTTGGCTTTAGATTAGGGTGTATATATTGGAAAGATGCCTGGTGAGGCGTTTCGATAAACAAGCAGGGAGGCGTGCCCTGGTTTAAGGCAGCCAGGACAGGTGATGTTCTTCTATGGGTACAGCTGTATGATCAAGCAGGGTTGCTTTAGCTCCAGCAAGCCGTAGGGCTTTAAAGGGTAAAAACAACAACCTTTTGCGGGTTTTTGGCGGTCAATAAAAGGCCTGGTTAGCTGGAGAGGAAAAGTATGTTGCTTCCAAGAAGAAGGTTAGGTTACTATTGTTGATAGATACTGGGCCACAGAAGTTTACAGTTTAGCCATGTGGGTGTAGGGTGGTGTTCCTTCTGTGTACTGAGCATATGGTCGTCGTAATATCTCTTTAATTTTATTCGTTACAAAACATTCAATCCACCTTGGGGAGTCTGAAAGCGGTAGAAAGCATTGGAACTATGGTGAGGATAACTCACCTGCTGTATTTATATGAATTGTGCAATGTCGTCATATAATTTGATTATGTACTGACAGTGCTAAGGAGACTCAAGGTATCTATGGGATGATTGGAATGGTCAATTGATCTTACGGACTAGTGTGCTATAAGGGATAGGAGTGTGACCATGTTTGGGCTGTGTCTGAGTTATAATATTTACATCTGTGAGCGGTTAATAAACATGGCGACCTCAGGTATCAGATGAAATGTGTAAGAACAATGATCTGAAAAAGGATAAATGTATCAGGCATGTGAAGTGTTGGAGTGATCCAAACTATGGCTGAAAATATCTTGTATACCTGGGTGTGAGCTTAATACACCTCGTTGCTCCGATGGCAAGTAACCCAGTAGTGCAATGATCCGAGAATCTTGTGAATGTTTTAGCGATTGCCAGCGTGTTGAGGGCCCTATCACGGTTGAGTGAAGGGATATACGCGCCAGAAACACTAGCCTGGGCCTTTTTTCTATGTTGGTAGGCGCCCGGACTGCGGTTCCAAGTTAATGATATAACCCAATTAATTTTCCCAGAAACTAGCAAACCAGACTTTTACTTTGGTATGTCATTTAGAATTAGATATGTAATTATAAGGCATGAAGTCACAATAGATGAGAAAGTGTATAGGTGAGGCAGATTAATGTCAAAGTGAAATTTAAAGTCTGGAAACTGTAGGCCTAGTTCAGGCGGGGCCACGCCATAGTATAAGTCAGGCTTCTCTTCTCACCCGCAGGTCAGTACCCCACTGTATTTATAGAGGCCTATCTAGCAGTTTATATACAGTGAACCCTCACTTCTGTGATTAAATTCAACTCACAGTGCGGCGGGAAAATGAAAGCAGCGTAAGTGAACAACATAACATATGGGATTAATTGAAATAGAGATGGGCCGACCCCCAAACTCCTTTTTCAGACACAATGCAACCGTTGTAGTAAAATAACTGTTAATTTTATGATGGTATGCACTGAGTTAATAATTAAGAGAAATATCAATAATATTAGGTTTTTACTTACTTACATTAGTAGAAAGATGGCTGGACTGCAGGGGATGGGGGTTGGTTCGAGGCAGAGGGCAGATTATTGGCCTCACCTGTATCACTGTATCAATTGTATCACTATCCACCACAGAGGCTCAGGGGCCTCTTTGTCAAGCCCCTCAAAGTCCATATCCTCACTATAATTATCACTATGACTGACTTGGGCGGCTGTGGTGGGTGGCGGGTGAAGAACTTCATTAATGTTTTGATGACTAGGCGACCTTGTGCACACCATTATTCGGCGCCAGCTTACTGTATGGCGGATGGCGTGAGTTTGGATCAAAATGGTAGCTTCGCCAGCCGCTCTCAGCGTAAGGGGTACGCACTGCGGAATGTGAGGTATCCTGGGTTCGGCAGGCACGTAATGCGGTCGAAAGCAGCGGAATATGGGACAGCGTAAAGGTGAGGTTAACTGTGTATATATATATATATATATATATATATATATATATATATATATATATATATATATATATATATATATATATATATATATATATATATATATATATATATATATATATATATATATATATATATATATATATTATGATTGGTCTCATATTACGGTCCCGCGTTCCTTTAACATGATTGCCTTCTAAACATTTTTCATTCATGATTTTGTGGGGGCGGCATGGCAGCCATTTTTGAATCCGCCATGTTGTGTGTAGAAATGGAGTGTGCACAAAGATGGTGAATATGGACAGATGTGTCATAGTGGTGTTGAGATATTAATCCCTTATACTTCTAGCGTTCTCACTTTCTATGAGCCCTCCACATTAACACGTGGTATAAAGAACCAACTATATATATATTATATATATATATATACATATATATATATATATATATATATATATATATATATATATATATATATATATATATATATATATATATATATATATATATATATATATATATATATATATATATATATATATATATATATATATATATATATATATATATATTTTTTCTTTTGTCCCAATTATACGTGCTAGTATGAATACTCTGTACCAGTGTATATGGCTATCTCTCTCCCTCATCTCATGTTAGTTCACAAAACTTTTAGGGCTTCACGCCTGGGTTTCTGATTACTCTCAGCATGCAGGCCAGAGTTAAGTTTTCTCTTCATACTATATTTTATTCATGTCTTCAGTAGCGGGTTCAGCTTTCAGGCGAACTTTGGCGAGGCTGACAGCCTTAGTGACCATCAACCAGGTACAGCTACAGCCTTGGTGACCATCAACTTCAGGTGCAGCTACACCATCAACTGGTACAGCTACTGCCATCAACTTCAGGTTCAGCCACCATCAACTTCAGGTACAGCTACAACATCAAATTTGGTTCAGCTACACCATCAACTTCAGATACAGCTACCATCAACTTCAGGTTCAGCTACACTCAACTTCAGGTACAGCTCACCATCAACTTCAGATGCTGCTACACCACCAAATTCAGCATCAGCAACAGCCAGCAACAACTACAGGGTTGAACAACAGCTTCAGCAATAGCTTAGGTTCAGCAACAGCTTCAGCAACGCTGCAGGTTGAACAGCTTCAGCAATAGCTTCAAGTTCAGCAACAGCTTCAGCAACAGCTATATAGTATCTTTAGGAAAGCTTCAGTGGGAGTTGAACCTACAGCTTCAGATGGAGAACCTGATGATTTAGACCGTGCGTCATCTGAGTAAAAACTCAGCCAACAACATTGGTTGTCCTTATGTTTCGACTTTACCATTGGTGAGTAGAATATTTGTTTCATGCATAAGCATTTATTAAAACATATATGAGAACAATAATAAGTGTTGCTTTGTCTACAGTATTACCCTTTCGGTTTCACTTTCCGAATTTCTGATTTCTCATTTCACGGTACCTTGAGAACCAGACTTTCACTTTCAGCGTTGCATCTACTCATATACGGTGAAGTATAATTTTTTTTATTTACCTCATAAAATTCATACAAATTACCCAGCCAGAATATAATTTACATTGCTGGAATTCTTACAATATGATGATCATTTGAATATAAACATCATGGATTTTGCATTAGACATACAAATTTTAGATCTTATGTAATAATTTGGTTTACACAAAGCAAATATTTTATCCTTTGTGCAGAATATATAGTTTACATTCAAAATATTCCTGATCTGCAAGGAATCCAGAAATGTCAATTATTTATCTAACTTTAGTCCTGAGTTATTATTTATACTAAAAAATTTAAATATACAATTTGATCCCAATCCTTTTGAGGAGGGAGGAGGACCCAGCTAGGCGGGTGTTGATTGACGATATTGTCTGAAGAAATTTCTTTTTGTATATTTACTGAAGATATGTTTTATCATAAAATTCATATAAATTACCGGCCAGAATATAATTTACATTGCTGGAATTCTTACAATATGATGATCATTTGAATATAAACATCATGGATTTTGCATTGGACATACAAATTTTAGATCTAAAGTAATATTTGGTTTTACACAAAGCAAATATTTATCTTTTGTGCAAAATATGAAGTTTACATTCAAAATATTCCCACTTGCAAGGAATCCAGAAATGTCAATTATATTATCTAACTAGCCTGAAGTATTATTTATTACTAAA